CACGGCAGGGAAAATGGCCACGGATCCTGTTCGTCACCCGATCTTGCGTTCGCGAACGGAAGCAAAATTTTGCGAACGGTGCTGTTCATGACCCGAATTGGTCGTGAACAGAGGCGTTCGTGACCCGAGGTACCACTGTACTTCATTTGGAACCTTAATCTCTTCCTCCCATCAACACAGCAACTCTTTTGACACTTCCTATAACCATTCTAGCATCTTCCTATTACTCTCCTATGATATCTGGTTCTTGCTCTCCTCTATCCCCTGTCAAATCTAATTCATTTTCCCCATGATTTCTTTCCCTGTTCCTCTTCCTTAAACCCACAGAACTATACCATCAGACATGCACTTGAATCTATCTCCAGGATACAATCAGCATAATATGCTGTGGATTATGGGTCTAGATTAAAAAAAAAACCTCTGTGTCTGTTTTTTAGGTAAACCATTTGCTTATCATTTACCAGAAACATTTAGAATTTTTGAAATACACTACTGTATTATGCTGGAAATATACCTCTTACAGTCTTAGACATAGGATATTCATCTCTACATCATCATCTGAAGCAGAGTGATTTTTGTCTACTAAAGCATTAATGTATTAGAGGTTAATATATACAAAAATAATGTTAAAAGTTTCCAAACATAAGCAAGTATAAATAGCATTTATATAATCGTGTCTACATTAAAGCTCATTAAAACAGCTTACCAAGTTTATCTAGGACAGTCTTAAAAGGGAATTAATCATTGCAAATGGTGAAATGGCTTCTGCATAGATTCCTTTTTTGTACTTCTAATCCAATATTAATAATTCATTTCTCATACTGGACAGGCAATCTTGGATAGATTATCTGAGATAGTGTTCTCCTCAGAACATAAAATATATCAAACTTTTTGTCATGTATGAATTCACAGATTATAGTGTAGACAACGCCCTATTCCCAATGTTTGCAATCTATCATTTGCTTCTTTATAAATTTCAGCCACGTTCTAGAGGTTAACTATTCAAGAAATATACAACAAATCAGTCATTTCGACCCCTGTTTATTATAGTTCTTGGCTTCACTGACATGGTCCCATCAAATGCAGGCAAAGGTATGCAGCACAGATTGGGTCAAGCTTCTTTTTAGTCTCTTGCCAGAAATATTCCTGTATTTTTACACTTATTGATTTATTATTAAATTGGTATGCCACCCAACTCCCAACGGCTCCTTTTATTTTATTTCATTCAGCTTTTCTGTCCTAATGTCATTTCCTTGGAGATTCTATACGTTTCTCTAATGTTCTCTCCCAAATAAGATGGTGCTTCCTCCGTCACCATGTAATAGGATGAAGCCTGAGGAGAGGAAGGTGAACTGAGAATATATCTGGACGCCCCCTTCCCAATTTGGGGTGGGGGAGACCCCCAGAAGCGCAGACCATCGTCCCGTCACTGTACTGCGCGGCCATAAATCCCTTTCCCGCAACCTCAAGCTCTATAGAGCCTCGGGGAATACAGCGGCCAGGATCCCTAGCCATTATCGGCAGTCGTCTTGGCTGGGAAGCCTGGGAGTTGTAGTCCCTGAGGGGGGGGGCCAGCGGAGGAAGGCTGTATGGGAGACGCGGCAGCTTCAGCCTTTTGACAGACGTGATTAAGTAGCACGAAGTCAGGAGGGAAATTCTTCCCTCGTTTCTAAATCCCAACAAAACCCAACCCTAACAAGGCCGGGAAGCCTGAGAGTTGTAGTCCACCCCAATCCCCCGAAAAAAAAACCCGCTCTATTTACACTCACGGCTCGAAACGCTTTTGCGGATGCCTCCGGTGTTTCGTCACTTCCTCTTTGGCTCTCTGCCACACGAACTACTTCCGCCGAGGTCGCGAGTCCGCTGCGACCCTCTGTTTCCTCCGAGGGACCGAGGGAAGGGGATAGTCACGGCCGCCTCTGAGCTCTTCAGGGTTAAAGTCCCCTCTGCTCCAACTTCTCCCGCTGCAGAGTTTCACCAGAGAGGATTAAAGCGAGAGGGACGGCCCTTTGCCCTCTCTCAATTCATCTCCGCCTGAGCGATTCCACTGGGAGGCCAGTCTGTGCCTCATTCCTCCTCGACTCTCTGGTTCGTTGGGAGAGCGGCTTCCTGCGCATGCGCCGGGACTCGCTTGAACCATGAGAGTGTTAATCGGTGAGCTTTAAGGGGCGACGAGTGCCTATTTGCAACGGGGGGAATGGCTGTTTTGCTTGCTGCGCGGTTGTTCTTTTTTTTTCTTTTTCTTTGCAAGTGCAATAAGGGTACAGTTCTTGGCTGGATTAGGGCCACTTTGAGCTGCGGTCCATACGAGAGATACGTGCAAACGGTGAACGTGAGATTTCTCTTTGAGGCATGGGGGTCGAGGAGGGTGAGCTTCACATCCGAGGAGTTGGAGAGTTTGGTCTCTCCTTCATCTTTCTCAAGCGTACCCTATTAAGGTGTTGGATGAGGACTGGGGAGACCCGCTGGGGTTAATCCAGGGTCAAGTAGGACCCCCTGAGTGACTTGGAACAGCTGCTGTCTTTTAGCCCAGCCTCCCTCCCTGGACGGGTGTGGAGGAAGGACTGCTGAGGATGCTGCCTTGAGGAAGGGTGGGATATATTATACATCTATTAAAGAGAAACGGGGGAGGGTTCTTTTCTTTGCAGAAGAAAGACAGGAGTTTTCCACCAGTAATGCTTGTTTTGTTTTGTTTTGTGCCTCTGAGTCAGTGTTGACTCCTGGCAACTGCCTGGATGCCCCTGCAGTTTTCTTGGGAAGTTTTTTCAGAAGTGGTTTGCCACTGCCTGCTTCCTAGGGCTGAGAGAGAGGGACTGGCTGAAGGTCACCCAGCTGGCTTCATGCCTAAGGCAGGACTAGAACTCACAGTCTCCTGGTCTCTAGCCTGTTGCCTTCCTCACTATACCAAACTGATTCTCCAGTAATGCATTGTCTGCTGCCTTTTCCCTTCCTTCCTCTGTGAGAATCCAAAGCTGATAAAATTCCCATTTTCTGCTCTTCTTTCCCAGGCAGGAATCTCCTCCTATCCTGCTGCTCAGTCCATAAACAGAATCATATTGCCTGAGGCATGTGCAGGCATGACGAAGAAACCTATAGCTGGCTCTGTGACTTCAGATGTTACTGCTAGTTAGCCTCAATCACACAATCATTTTAATCTTAGGAATGCTTCCTTCAGGGAAAAATGGAAAAAAATAAAATAAAACCGACCCCTATATAGGTATACCTCTCCCCCCAATAGAACAGTTCCTTTCCTTTTTTGTGGATGACCCCAAATAATTTTCTCCAATTTTGCTTTGTTGGGTTTTTAAGGAAGGGAGACACTTGTCATAAGGAAGGGAAGCTCTTTGTGTATTTTGAATGGAATATTCAGATTTTAGAAAACAGACAATCTCCTTGAGGAGACAAGAGGATCGTAAGCTTTAATGAACTTAACATAGTCATCTTGATTTGAGGAGAAGGGAGTTGGGGAGGTTAGAGTGTAATTTTCAGTATTAGCCAAGGAAACTTATAAGGTGCACCTTCTCTCAGTATAACCAATCTCACATGGTGGAGTTGTGGAGGTAAATTGAAAGGGGGTCCCTGAGTAAACCAATACAAGCTCCTGGAGGAAAGGTAGGATATAACTTTAACAAAGTATTTCTCAACAGGGCTGTGTTTGTTGTTGACAGTCTCATTAACTATTCCATCATCTCCCCATCACTTTCTGATTCTAATTTAGGTGGGGGGACTGGATTTATTGGCCGAAACTTATGCCAGGTGCTGAAGAGCCGAGGCCATGAAGTCACCCTTATTTCTCGTCACCCTGGAAAGAACCGGTTTACCTGGGTAAGGAGCAGGGGCTTAGAACAAGCTAGAACTTGGAAGAATACGTTTAAACGTGTTTTAGTGTGGGTGGTTGCCATTTAATTTCTTTTGAATTGAGAAAGGTTTGTAAAGATGAAAGAGGAGATGGAAGAAGAAGTTACAAAAAAAATGGAAGAATCTATAGGGCAACTTACAGGAGATGTTAAGCAAATTAATGACAAAGTGGAAATTTTAGAAAGCGAAACAGAAATAATAGATGGAAAAGGATTTAGACAATCTGGCATTACTGGAATTGAGAGAAAAAGAATTTTGTTTAATACTTAGAGTAGTTCCTGAGGATCCTGGAGAAGACACCAGAGAAAAGATTGTTCAAGCTTTAACAAACTTTTTGGAATGGGATGAAGATGATATGGAGGCAGAAATTGATGAAGGTTATAGAATCAACACGCAATTTGCAAAATTAAGAAATGTACCAAGGGATATTCTTGTGTACTTTGTCAGGAAGAAGACTAGAGGCCTACCACTTCTCTGCTTGCTGGAAAAAGCTTCTCCCATTGGATGCTAGGATGCAGTTTACAGTAAAGCAGAATGGCTTTCTTGAGTGCTGATTTGCTGTGGATGGGGATAGCAAAGTTGAATGGTGGGAAAAGCAGGAGCCATTTGTAGTTGAAATTAATACTTATTAATACAGCCTCTGAAATATTGTAGGAAGAGAGCTGAGTTAGTTTATGGTAGCAGAAATCAGAAGGAATTTAAGAACATCTCTTCAGTCTAACAAATGTTATTTAAAAGGCTTAAGTTTTTATGAACTACAGTACAACTCACTTCACTAGATGCAGTGGAGCAACTAGACTGATGTAGGATTTAAATTGGGATGCGGTGGGGGGGAAGGAGGGAAAGAAAAAACGGTGGCCATGCAGATGACATGGACAATAGACTACATATGCCTTTATCAATTAACAATTGTAAACCAGTGGAGAGTTCCTTTAAATAATATGAGATTATCCATTTCTGCCACCTGAAAATTAGCTTAATGCAAAAAAAAATGCTTGTATGTTTTGGACACCTCAGATAATATTTAGTTAAAGTTGACCAGAGTTACCTTGATGTCCGGGATGCAATTCATGGGTAAGAATGTTAGCTTATGGTCTGCCCTATTGTTGACATATCTGGGACTGAATTGATTGCAGTATGTTAAAGCTGCCTATTTTCTTTTTAGCTCTGTCCTGAGTTTTTTTGGAACATGGTAGAAAACTGTAGACTCTTCAAGCGTGGAGAGTTAGCTAAAATAATTATTATACAACACTAGAAAGAGAAATTACATCTCTTGTAGCAATGGTTTATTGATATGCATTTGTCAAATTCAGATTAGGGTTGTTGTTTTTTTTGGCAAAGGGACAAGACAGAAGACTTTTAGAAAATTGTTCTGTTCGTAATATAATTTTTCTAGACTTCTTACTCCTTCATTCCTTTAACAGCAATGTTGATTTGATGTTACAGTGTATTGCTAATACTGTTGAATGTACGTCAGGTTTTTCTTCTGTTAATTATGGTGATATAATAAAACGTATTTGAAAGAAAAAACAACCTGACAAGACCTGAATTTGTGTTTTCATTTCTAGGATGAACTTTCCCGCTTAGGCCTCCCTCCTTGTGAAGGAGTGGTCAACCTGGCTGGAGCAAATGTCCTCAATCCTCTTAAGAGGTAAGTCTCAATAATTTTGGACAAAGTCAGTTGCAGGACATTAATACGGTTTACTCAGATTCACCATCTGTTTCCTCAGTTATTTAGAAGTAGGGATGTTAAGCAGAATTAACAAGTAGCTTTGCAGCAAGAAGTCTTGGCCCCAGAATAATTATAGGAGGCCTAGAACTGGAGCCACAGACAGTTTTCCACGAGTCTCCTTTCAGAATGAGAGAATATGGAGGTGGGAATTTCTGAGCCCAGAAAAGAACTATATTTGATTTGACTTAATTAAAAAGTTGAGAACATTTATCATGATTTCCCTCCATATTTTAATTATTTCCCCTTCTTTCAGTTCAGCGGCTACATAGGGAGGGACTTTGCATGGCTACACTCAAGGTTTGAGGAGCCCTATTAAGCCCTGAGGCTTCATATTGTGCACCCCCTTGGTAAGGCATAAATGGGTTTGTCAGCTGAAGGTGTCTTGAAGAACTTAGCTCAGTATGGAAGGTTGGATCATGGATAAGAACATAAACAGGAAAATATGCAGAGCCTGGCTTCTGGAATTCTTTCCAGCTCCTTTACCAGCTGTGAGTATAGGAGGCACCTGTGTTCTTTGTCATGCATTCTGTCTGCACATTTCTGCTTTCTTCCTTGACACATCTGGACATGAGTGCATCTGTACCAGGATGCACAGGGTGGACTACATATCGTCTGTCCCGGGTCACAAGACCAGGAGAAAGGGAAGTTGGTAGAATGGAGCAGTCAGCAGTATTTTGAGCTGCTGCCCAGCCATCTCTCCCTTAGGGATGCACTAGAGATAGTTTGGGGCGGGGGGGGGGGTTCTGTGGCGCCTGACCTGATCCAGCCATTTTCAAAATTGTTTTTCTTTTGCCAGTTACTCCCACCCCACCAAACCTGGTCCTATTCTGTTTTCTTTCCCTGCCTACGGAAATACAGAAAGGACCCAGAGTCCCATTTCATAATTTCTTTCCAATATTCCATTGGGTTGGAAAGAAAAAAAGGATCTTGCATATTGCAGGAACAGTTCAGCCCACAAGCTGAATGTCATTGCCTCTCAACCCTTATGACCTGTTAGAAGATGCACAATAGGATGTTTATGAAGCCCTCTGTAATCAGTCAGGGTATCTATAGCCGGCCTGATAGGTCATACTTTGCCAGATATAGATACCGATACTTTGCCGAGCAAAGTTTTTCTTTCTTCCTGCAATTCTATGCATAGAGATCAAGCCCTTTTTTTCTGGAAGAAGCAAGTTCTTCGATGCCACGCACTGCACACAGACAGTGGCTTTGCTAGAAACACATCTTTCTGGGTGGAATACTCAGCAGACTGGTCTTAAGATTGTGAAAACAGGCAACGTTAGTGGAGGGACAGAATTATATTTGAAAGACTGATGTCTTTGGGGGCTTCTGCAGGTGGAATGATTCCTTCCGCCAGGAGGTGGTTTCCAGCCGAGTAGAGACCACAAAGTCCTTGGCAAAAGCCATCGCAGATGCTGAACACCCACCTCGTGCCTGGGTCCTTGTCACCGGCGTAGGTATTAACCTCAGAGCTGTAGTCTAACTTTGCTGTCCATTTGACTGTAAGTAAATAGTGAGTGTAAGTAGTAGGAAAAGAGTTTGGGGAACTGAATACCATCCCTCAGCCTTGATGGGAACTTCTTTTGAAACAATTTGTGTATTTCCACCTTTGAGCAGCCTTTGATTTTGCTTACATAGCCACGGGCAAAATTATGCATCTTCATAAGGAGTCTTAGAACCATTGGTCTTACTGCTGTGATTCTATAGAATGTTCATAAACATTCTGACTAGTCAGAGTGAAGGTTCTGGTGGAAGATTATTGCTGAGCAGCCTTAATATATTAGGGTTTGCTTTAAATGGATGATTTTTTTTCCTTGGGGTTTAGGGCTAATCAGGGATTGTTCTAGCTTGTAAAGGCATGGCAGCTGAGAGTGAAGAGTGCCAGTAATGTAGAAAAGCCACAACTTTGCTAAAGTGATTTGAAGGGGGAGTAGGTGATGGCTTAGTGAATTCAGACATTGTGGTTTAAACCATGATTTGGGTTATAAGGTGTTCAAAACCAACAGTGGTTTGTTCAATAAAATGTGATTAAGCAAACAAGTATCAGTGTGTGAGCTACAGCAGAGGAATTAAAAGAAGAGTAAATAGAATAGGGGTACCTATGGCCCTACAGTTGTTCATGAACTTTGTCCCATATTCTGCACTAAGGGCCATCCACGTTGGAGCTGCTATAAACTGTAGTCCACCAACATCTGGAAGGCTAAAGGTTCCCAATCCCTGATTTAAAAAATAATATATTGGAGAAACAGAAATCTAAAGGAAAGGTATGAAACTAATTGAATGGTAATCAAACCAAGATGAATTTTGGAAAACCTCAAAAAAAGCTAAATGTGATATATTCGAGCTAACTGAATAGTAATTTCTACAGCTTTTTAGTGGAAAGTATTTCTCAAAAAAATTTGGTAGATATATTCTAAGGTTCAGATCTAAAAGACGGGTAGTTGTCATAACAGCTATAAAAATATTTGCATGGAGTACAGTTCCATAATAAATCAGTGTCTGATATCCCTTCCAGGATATTACCGGCCTAGCCACACCACCAAATACACTGAAGAAAGTCCAGGTGGAGACTTTGATTTCTTCTCTCGCTTGGTGACCTCTTGGGAGGAAGCAGCTAAACTTCCTGGTGGTACCACTCGCCAAGTGGTAGTGAGATCTGGTAAGGCAGGATGTGGAATGTGGGAACATTTATTTGTAGACTGCAGGTTCCAAACTTCTGCTTTAAAGAAACTTGTTGTAGACTACATGGAAACTAGGAAGCTTCTGATTCCAATCTCACTTGGTGAACACCTCATTCTTGTGGCTTTCAGTTACAAATGATCTTGGCTTTGTTTCCTCTAATTGAGGAATAATACCAAGCACACATCTTTCCAGTTATCACAAAAGTAACTGGAATAATGTATGGCTGGAGTCACATACATGTTAAGCCATAATGTAGTTTGTTTGGGGTGTATCATGTCACTGAACCCATGTTTTCCAGTTTGGTGTGTTATACAGACCTGTTCCATTGTGGCTTTTTCAGAGGACCGTCCCTTAGGCCAGTGTGTAAGGGAAGCCTATGTGAAATACACTTTATAACTATGTAACTATGCCTCTGTTTGCTTCAAGGTGTTGTGCTGGGCAGAGATGGTGGTGCCATTGGCCAGATGTTATGGCCTTTCCGCCTTGGACTTGGAGGTCCCATTGCTTCTGGACACCAGCCTTTTCCATGGATCCACGTGCTCGATTTGGCAGGAATTGTGACTCACATGCTGGAGCAACAGGGCCTTAGTGGTGTCTTCAATGGTGTTTCACCTTCTGCAGTTGGAACCACAAACAGGGACTTTGCCCGAGCAATGGGGTCGGCACTCAGACGACCTGCCTTCTTGCCTCTGCCGGGTTTTGTAGTGAGAACCATTTTTGGCTCTGAGCGAAGTACCATGCTGCTTGAAGGGCAGTGTGTGATCCCCAAGAGGACTCTAGAGAGTGCATATTCTTTTGTATTCCCTAGTCTTTCCTCTGCTCTCCAGGATATTTTAGCTTGACCTGAGAAGCGTAAGTCTGCATGTAACATATTTCCATTTTGTTGAATACTTGCTGGGTAGGCACGCACACTGTCTTGTAAGTACGTTGATTCATAATTACATACTTTGTCTGAGAACTGAAGGTTCAAAGTCAAGAAGTTGCTCTGTGAAAAAGAATTGGCTTGTTTCAGAAGAATAAAATCTGCCTCATGGTGGAAACAGTGCTGTGAGAAGAAGAGTAATTTACAGTGGTTCCTCCCTTGGGTGGTAGATTTGTCATTTTTTCTTCTAGCTGGTCTCCTTCCCCAAGATGTGATGATTGGATTGGCAGCAAAAATGTTATAATAGCTGTGAAACAGCACACTGGTCTTTGAACGAGAATACCAGTGGTGGATTCCTGTGTTGGGTGAACCTTTAATTTCAGGGAAGCCTCTAAAGGATCATTATGGGGACCATCCGTCCTTTTAGGAGTCAGGCTTGGTGAAAAGAGCAGGCAGAACTGGAACTAAAATTAGGAGATAAAAAGAATTCCATTTATAAAGAAAACAAAACTTTATGCTGTGTTCCCTTAAAACAGCCGAAATGAAGACAGGCTACGTGCAGTGGCCATGGAATGGTCAGTTAGAAAGGAAAGAGGGAAAAAAGGATGAAGTGGCTTTCCTGAGGGGGAACTGTCTGGAAAACTCCCCCCCCCCCCATGAGTTTTATTGGCTCTGTAGGTTCTGAGTCTGATCCTTTCCCCAAGCCAAGGTGTGCTGTTGACTTAAGTTCTCTTTCACCCCAGGCTTCTTGGGCTACAGGCTAACAGTGATGAATTTGTCCAACATGAGATGCTATACTGTGGTTTTTTTGCTTTTAGCTTTGTAGGATTTTTCAGTAAACCATGGTTCAGCAAACCAAAACTCCTGGCTTGTCTCTGAGAAAAATAATGTAACATCCTTGTATGCTCAAGATCTCTTGGATATACTTACCTGGTCTGATTTATGTTAGTTCTTTGAAAGATTTTGTTAACCAGTGAAGTCTCTTTTGAGTTGGGATCAATTTCTGGTCACCTGATGGACATGTCCATGCAGTTTTCTTAGTAGTAATAAAGAAGCAGAGTGCTTTCTGAAATGGTTTTTTGATGGTCCAGCCTACATCTAAGAAGGAAGCTTCTTAGCTTCCAAATCCAGATCAAGGTCACCCAGCTGCCGCCACCTTTAGTTTAAAAAAATATAATTATTTGTAATTGGGCTGCTAAATAAGCAGGCTTTGGAGACAGTTCTCACTTGCTTTCACTTGGAGGAGGGATATGTAGTCACAGCAGAAAAGAAATCTCAGATGTAAGTGTTAAATGCTAAGTGGCAATGCAAGTCACCTATTCAATCCTAATGGTCATTGCGTGCTTCTAATAAATATTGTCAAACATCTGAAATCAAATATAATTGAAAGATCAAATTGAATGATTATGTGCTATGAAATCATTGTCAACTCTTAGCAACCACACAGACAGATTTTCTCCATGATGATCTGTCCCTAACTTGGTCCTTCAGGTCTTCCAAGGGTGCGCCCATTGCATCTCTAATTGAGTCCATCCTCCTGGCTGCTGATTGTCTTCTTCTCTTTCCTTCTGCCTTTCCCAGCTTCTTCACTTAATGTGCTTGAGTAGGATACTTGTTGGAGGAAAAGTATTCAGGCATTCAGAGATCAGAGAAGTGTTCCTAAAAGAAGCTATGTTAGGAATTAATGTGATCCTCTAAGGAAGTCTTCTTGAGCATGGGTGATTGATTTGAATAGGTGATCAACCAAACAATCTCCTTGCCTTCACAGCCTGCTCTGTTCTCTCCCAGAGAGCTTGTGAGGACCCAAAACATATAAAAGTAGCAATTGCAAGCCAGCATTTCCTTTGCTTTACTCTTAGTTCTATCTCTGTTGCTGCCATTTGGTGGGAGGGAGGTTTAGATGTGGCAACAGATCAATGGGGGAGAAAGACCAGGGAGAAAACTGGGGTAGCCAATACAACAGAAAGGGTATGGCAAGACTGGAGTTGCAGCAGGAAGCAATCCAAAGGCTAAGGCAGGCTGTTGATAGCAATGGAAAGAGTAGGTAGCCAGAGTAGGTGACCAGGGTGGGAGGGGAGAACTCTCTGCATGTGTTTGATGCTGGAAGTGTATTTTGTATGCAAGGGTTTGCTGAGCAATTTAAATTGAGGTGCGCAAACTGAGTTCCCCAAGCCCACCTTTAGGCTGCAAAAGCTTTGGGGGTGATCCCTGAAGTGGCTGGTGTGGGTCTTCCGGGCTGTGTGGCTGTGTTCTTGAAGTTTTGTTTCCTA